AAGCTAGAACTGTTACCAACAACAAAATTCATCAAAATCAAACAAATCCATTATCGCGACAGTCACATCATTTGTCAGCAAAGTACAAAAGGCATAATGTTTGAAGCAAAATGCCTGTGGTAATAGCTCCCAAAAGCGTTGGGGTTATTCCATCTATCAGACATAATCCAAAAAACGCAGATGAACAACGAGACAGTAGGCACGGGAGATGAAATAAGGGTTAGGTATTGGTACTTTAACCCACAACGTTCCAACATCTACTACTACTGAGAGTATGCTAGTTAACCCTAGAAACAATTTTAAAAAATGTTAAAAGTAACATCATAGTAGAAATTATTTCGTTGTTAAATACAACTCTTCATTTTACATTTGTAAAATTCCCACTCTCCACTCGTAGACAATGACAAGATCCATAAATCCTTATCTAAACAGTTCAGTACTAAATGAACGCCCGTCCTCTTCTTAACAACATTATTTAAGTATAAGCCAGACGAGACGAGTCAAACTCAAATAATTGAAGTTGGCCTTTCTGGGCCCGGTGTACTAAATAATTCACAAATAATGAAATTAATTTTAAGGCTATTATTTATAATATTTAGGTGTCTTTGAGACACTAGCGTCCTCTTGAGGATCGCATATTAGAAATATAGGTAGTCAGATCATTTCTGAAGGAAATCTTTTTTAAGAAGTTAAAGCAGTTATTATAAAAAAGTTTTAAAATTCTATACTTTAAAACCATTACACTAGAATTTATATTCTAACAACTTCTAACAATGTTATTGGCGTGATACTGAATTTATTTAATTTCTTTTGATAAATATGATTTTGAATTTTGTCGTGATTGACAGCTTTAGTTTTAAATTTCCCTCTCAGTGATTTATTATTTTTTTATCTACCTATAGCCAAAAGGGTTTTTAGCATGATTTAGACTGGTTATTTATATTAGCTGAGACACTCGCTAAGGAAACAAAAAATTGTATAAAGGGCAATGTTAGATAATGTTCCCCTTCCTTTCTTTCTTTTATTATTAAATCCCTAATGACCTCATTAGATGCTAATTGCATACTTTGCTTTGTGGAAGGTAATAATTGACTCAATTAACTGGTTAAGTACTAGTGTTTTTAAAATCAAAGCCAAAGTCTGTAAAAAAGTGGAAATGTGCTCTATTTCAGTATGTTTGTTATCCCCATTCTCGGGCCAAAATCCTAAAATAAAATAACCCATCTTTGATAGGTTGTTTAGGCAGAGTATTCATAATGAATCTAAATTTAAAATGGACAGCAACTGCTGTTGTAGAAACTTACAAATGTAGAGGACGACGTTTCGAAAGTCTTTCGCCTGAAGACGAAAGATCTTCGTCCTGAAACGTCGTCCTCTACATTTGTAGTTTTCTACAACAGCAGTTGCTGTCTTTTTGAAAAATAGCCCAATTACACCATCGAACAGTTTCCAGTTCCGTACGAAAATTATGATAATCAAGCCAGCCAGCGTTGGTGATGGACGCTAACACACACAGACACACTTAGTGGGTCATCTTTACAGTAAGATGTATGTATACATTATCACAAGGTTTCTCTAGCATGGATTGGTTTCGGAAGTTGTATACCTTAGAATCGTAATTTTATATGACACCTTTTTACAGTTACTTTTCTTACAACTGTTTGAGTGGATTCAGAATTTTATACTAATATTGATTGGTTTCTTTTTATGAAGACTCAGTAAGAATGACTCAATAAAAGAGTCATTTAATAAGTGTATTAAAGATGTAAGTATACTGACCGATGTAGTAAAACAGAGAATTATAAGCAAACAGTCAAAACTTTGAGTTACTTTACAATATATATATAATATAAACTGTTAGACTTATAAAACGTCAGTATTATAAGTAAACAGTCAAAAGTGATACATATATATATATATATATATATTACATGTTGTATTTGTAAAGTACCACCAACATATCAGTTACTTATTAGATGGTACCGAAATGTATCCTTTCTGTATTACGTAGATATGTGTAAAGTATTATCAACATATCAGGTACTTATTATATGGTACCGAGAGATAGTTCCCTTCTGTATTACGTGGAGTATTCGTAAAGTATTATCAACACAAAAGTAACTTCTTAGATAGAATCTGGCTAACATTTTACAAAACAACAACAACACACATTTCCGTGTTTAGTAATTTAAACCTACAATGCAGGGTTTTAAGCTTTTATGCTGCTGTGAACTAAGCCACCTGCAAGTCGCTCACTTTATTTTATCGTGTGATAACAACATATCATTGTATAAAGACTGACTAGTGGAAAAAAGCACTAAAACGACAGCTGACGTCACTTTATTACAGATATTTACTTAGAAGCAATTTTGAAATTATGTAATTTTTTAGATGAGAGTAAATAATTCAACTCACTCATTTTGTTAAGTTTCTCATTGTTTTAAATAAAATATTGTAATACAGAAAGGATACATTTCGGTACCATCTAATAAGTAACTGATATGTTGGTGGTACTTTACAAATATCTACGTAATACAGAAAGGATACATTTCGGTACCATCTAATAAGTAACTGATATGTTGGTGATACTCTCCACATACCCCCACATAATACAGAAAGGGTACATCTCTATTTTATCTAAGTATTTGATATGTTGATAATACTTTACAAATACTCCACATAATACAGAAAGTGAAGACCATCCGATAGTCGGTAACGTAGTTTCCATTCTTATACTCTACAAATACAACATGTAATGCAGAAATGGTACATTTGAGTTCTATCTAATGATAAATATTCAACTGGCGAGTTCCAACACAAGAGTAAGCGATGAAATTTGTAAAAAGAATGTGGGACATACTTGTCGTAAATAACATAGGGGGAATAAACGTGCCCCGTGCACGTGTTAGAGAGGAGTGGGTCCTTCAACAGCAGTGGTTTTTGGACGGCTTATTGTACGTACCCATGGGACCACGGACGACAGATCTCGGGCAGAAGTCTTCGCTGTAACACAGACAAACGTTCCCTACGTGTTCCTCTCTGCTCTATGTACCCGTTAAATAGAATAATAAAAATATATAAAAATCTTTTGAATCGCTAGAATGAACAACAGACTCTTGCTTTTAATATTTACTATAGAGAATGGAACTACGACAAGCTTCGCCCTAAAAAGAGCCAATAGCCGTGGCTGCTCAAGTACTCCGATAACAGTAACTCGACAAGTTCAGAAGTTGTTCGACACCTACCTTATGCTTCTTTTTATGTGAATGTTTTTCCATGCAATATCTTTCAAATAATAGGCAGCAACTTACAATAAGCTTTTGGATTCGGCTTCTTTTTGCTTCGGTTTAATTCTTGTGCAGTCTGACGTAATTCACTGAAGTTGTGGTATACTCATACACAAAAAAAAAAGTTACTCAAATCTTAAAATTCGCATGTGTAAGGTATTAATAAAGCAATATTATACACTGATCTGTTGAAAAAGCATCAAAAGTATGAAATAATTTTGAGATAACTCGGAAAGTTATTGTTTACTATTTGTTTCAGTGCAAAGCTTTACAGTAAGCTTTCTACGATCTGTCAACCGGGGGAATCCAACCCCAGATTTTTGCGTTATAAGTCCGTAAACTTACCCCTGGACTTGTGAGTAACAACTACGAAAAAATATTGAGAACTTTTTAGAAACTCTTAGCAAGCCCAGATTTAAAGAAACTTTTGTTTCTTTGCTAATACGTATGCATCTGACATTTTCAGATTTTCTTATAAATAAGAACTTATAAATATATCTCAAACTTTATACAAAGTATTACCAGCGTTAAGTTACAGTAATTTAATAAGATGTATGTGTCACGACTGTAGTATTTTCAACTTGAATGACACCTTATGCGACACATAGGCTAAACGCACATGTTAAAGACCCAAGGTTCAGACATATCCATCCTTGATTTGGAACTGCTGATCAAATGGAGACAACCAGTAAGGAGCACCCTCTGTCTACACGACTACTCTTCACTGAACAGCAGTAGTGTCTGTCACTTTCATAACGCGTTTACAGCAACATCGGGTGGCTCATACCTTAAACCTTGCGTTTGCAGCCTGGTTTGTTTATTACAAGGCTACGACATGCTCACTACATCTGAACTAACATAGACAGTGTACAATAAGTGTTAGGCTATTATAGTTACTGATACATTACGTGTAGCGCATAAAGTCAGAGTAAGAAGAACAGTATGCATTTTCTATTACTCTAGGTAATTACACCGCACGTTACTTAAATAGAGAATACAAATAATAATATAAGCATTGGATTGTTCTAGATGATGATGTATTATGTGTGCCACACACCGAGAGTGACAAGTACATTAAAAGTGTTGTGTTTTTCTAGACGATGATGTACCACGTGTGCCATACATACCCAGAGCAACGAGTACAGTTTAAGGGTTGGATTGTTCTAGATGATGATGTATCATGTGTGCAACACAGCGAGAGTGATAAGTACATTAAAAGGGTTGTGTTTTTCTAGACGATGATGTACCACGTGTGCCATACATACCCAGAGCAACGAGTACAGTTTAAGGGTTGGATTGTTCTTGATGATGATGTATCGCTTATTCCACACATACCTAGAGTAAAAAGCACAGTGTAGATGTTGTATTGTTCTAGATGATGATGCAACACGTGTAACGTATATTTAAAGTACAATATACGAGTGTTGTATTGTTCTAGATGATGATGATGCAACACGTGTAACATATATCCAGAGTACAATGTACATGTTATTTGATAAAATCTCCCGTAATATATGAACCACTGCAGAAAGTTCTATCTAATAACATAAAGTAACCATTAACTGTATAAGCCTTACTACTATTCTATTAAAGTATTTGAAAATGTGGCAACTTACAAATCCCACGAAATGTCTGCACTTAGTGCTCTGTGTATGTTGTATTAGAGTGACATCATCACTCGGAGGAGTATAAAAGCTATTAAATTGAACTTACCAGTAGCCTTAAGATAACCTTCTCTTTTATCACTAGGTTCCATGTTATTTTATTCTAGTCCGAGACGTGCTATCTTCTCATTAGCTCATACGACGCCCGACGAACAGTGCCTATACACAAAGCTGACTTTCCACAGTAACTCACACACAAAACCCGTTTCTATCCCGGACGGAACTTGAGACCTTCTGCTGCCGCTCGGTCCGGTCAAGTGACAACGTCCACGGCAACGAAAGTTGCAGTCGGTGCACATGCAGTAAAGTAACACTGTTACGCTCTTCCTGAAATATAGAAACAAAGTGTTCTTATTCTAAAGTTACCAGTGAACATTTAAATATTGAAGGCGTACATATCCCAGCTTAGGAGAGAGAGAGAAAGTCATTTGCAATATTTGTAAAGAAAGACAAGCAAAGCTAAATAAAAAGGTTGAAGTTGAAATGCTAGGAACTGGTTAAAGATCATTAACAACAAACATTTCTTAAAGTGATTTCACATACTTTCTTATTTTTAGTTATGTGAGCATTGTTGAACTCAAACGAGGTTTTAACTCATTTTAATATTTTTCGATTAATCTACAGTATATGAGAAACAAAAAATGATAGTAGCTAATTACATACCAAAGATACGTACTATATACACTTACTAGGTTTATCTACAAGATGCGAGATTACCAGAACAGTATACATACTACAGACCATTACTAGGTTTATCCACAATATATGAGAAATAAAGAACAGGTAGTAGTTAAATGTATAACCAGGACACATACTAAAGACCGTTACTAGATTCATGTATAATAAGTGTGGATTACAGAATAGGTAGTAGTTAGGTATATAACCAAGATACATACTAAAGACCGTTACTAGATTCATGTATAATAAGTGTGGATTACAGAATAGGTAGTAGTTAGGTATATAACCAAGATACATACTAAAGACCGTTACTAGAATCATGTATAATAAGTGTGGATTACAGAATAGGTAGTAGTTAGGTATATAACCAAGATACATACTAAAGACCGTTACTAGATTCATGTATAATAAGTGTGGATTACAGAATAGGTAGTAGTTAGGTATATAACCAAGATACATACTAAAGATCGTTACTAGGTTCGTGTACAACATTTGAGGATTACAGAATAGGTAGTAGTTAAGAGTATAACCAGGACACATACTAAAGACCGTTACTAGATTCATGTATAATAAGTGTGGATTACATAATAGGTAGTAGTTAGGTATATAACCAAGATACATACTAAAGACCGTTACTAGATTCAAGTATAATAAGTGTGGATTACAGAATAGGTAGAAGTTAAATGTATAACCAGGACATACTGAAGATCGTTACTAGGTTCGTGTACGACATTTTAGGATTACAGAATAGGTAGTAGTTAAGAGTATAACCAGCACACATACTAAAGACCGTTACTAGATTCATGTATAATAAGTGTGGATTACAGAATAGGTAGTAGTTAAATGTATAACCAGGACATACTGAAGATCGTTACTAGGTTCGTGTACAACATTTTAGGATTACAGAATAGGTAGTAGTTAAGAGTATAATCAGGACACATACTAAAGACCGTTACTAGATTCATGTATAATAAGTGTGGATTACATAATAGGTAGTAGTTAGGTATATAACCAAGATACATACTAAAGACCGTTACTAGATTCATGTATAATAAGTGTGGATTACAGAATAGGTAGAAGTTAGGTGTATAACCAAGATACATATTAAAGATCGTTACTAGGTTCGTGTACAATATTTGAGGATTACAAAATAGGTAGTAGTTAAGAGTATAACCAGGACACATACTAAAGACCGTTACTAGATTCATGTATAATAAGTGTGGATTACAGAATAGGTAGTAGTTAGGTATATAACCAAGATACATACGAAAGACCGTTACTAGGTTCGTGTACAATATTTGAGGATTACAGAATAGGTAGTAGTTAAGTGTATAATCGAGATACATACGAAAGACCGTTACTAGGTTCATATACAATATGTGAGGGTTACAAAACAGATAGTAGTTAAGTGTATAACTGGAATACATAGGAAGGACTGTTACTAGGTTCGTCTACAACATTCGAGGATTACAGAATAGGTAGTAGCTAAGAGTATAACCAGGACACATACTAAAGACCGTTACTAGATTCATGTATAATAAGTGTGGATTACAGAATAGGTAGTAGTTAAATGTATAACCAGGACATACTGAAGATCATTACTAGATTCGTGTACAACATTTGAGGATTACAGAATAGGTAGTAGTTAAGAGTATAACCAGGATACATACTAAAGACCGTTACTAGATTCATGTATAATAAGTGTGGATTACAGAATAGGTAGAAGTTAGGTGTATAACCAAGATACATACTAAAGATCGTTACTAGGTTCGTGTACAATATTTGAGGATTACAGAATAGGTAGTAGTTAAGAGTATAACCAGGACACATACTAAAGACCGTTACTAGATTCATGTATAATAAGTGTGGATTACAGAATAGGTAGTAGTTAAGAGTATAACCAGGACACATACTAAAGATCGTTACTAGATTCATGTATAATAAGTGTGGATTACAGAATAGGTAGAAGTTAGGTATATAACCAAGATACATACGAAAGACCGTTACTAGGTTCGTGTACAATATTTGAGGATTACAGAATAGGTAGTAGTTAAGTGTATAACTGGAATACATAGGAAGGACTGTTACTACGTTCGTGTACAATATTTGAGGTTTACAGAATGGTAGTAGTTAAGTATATAACCAAGATACATACGAAAGACCGTTACCAAGTTCGTCTTTTACATGTTTATAAATACAAACTTCTGCCTCTTAGTAGTGTGTAGATGCAAACTCTGACTTTCAGTTGTGTTTAGATAAAAACTTCTGCTATTTAGTAGTGTTTAGTTACAAACTACTGCCGTTTAGTAGTGTTTAGATACAAACTGCTGCCTTTTTAGTAGTGTGTAGCTACAAACTGCTGCCTTTGTAGTAGTGTGTAGTTACAAACTGCTGCCTTTCAGTAGTGTTTAGTTACAAACTGCTGCCTTTTTAGTAGTGTGTAGTTACAAACTGCTGCCTTTCAGTAGTTTTAGGTACAAACTGCTGCCTTTTATTAGTGTGTAGTTACAAACTGCTGCCTTTCAGTAGTTTTAGGTACAAACTGCTGCCTTTTATTAGTGTGTAGTTACAAACTGCTGCCTTTTATTAGTGTGTAGTTACAAACTGCTGCCTTTCAATAGTGTTTAGATACAAGGCAAAGTATTTTTGAGAATCTAATGAATGACAATAAAATGAGAAGACGGTCGTTTGATTATGACATTTAATGTTAGACAAGCAACTTAAATTCTAATCCTTTTATTAGAAAGTTTAACGCTTAAAATGAAACTTTCATATGGGTGTTTTACTCTATCTTATTAATGCTTGAGATGAGGTAGAAGTTTTGGAGGAACGAGTAAAGAGGTTTGCAATTAAAATAGGGCACTGAAAAGTTATGAAAGTGATGTTAAAACCTAACTCGTTCCAGTTTTATTGCTTAACTAACTAGCAATAGTCCTAGGACATGAAAAGTTGCTTCCCTTATAAACGCCCATAAAACTGCAAAACACAAAATGCGAAACTGAAAATTTTTATATACCTCCCCGTGGACCCAATGAACCTCCTTGCTAAATTTGGTGAAGAACCATCCACAGGAAGTGAGGTAGTGGTAAAAAACGCAAAATGCCCATAAAAACTGCAAAAGTGAAAAATTATATGTATCACCCCATTAACCCAATGAACCTCCTTGCTAAATATATTGAAGATCCATCCACACCCTGCGAAGTAGTTACATAGACAAACACCAGACAGTACTATTATATTTATATAGGTATTTGATATGTAACCCTTAACCCCTGGTATGTTTAAATGTATGTAATATGACACACTATAAAGAGTTTATAGGTTAGGGATGTGGTATCTCTGCGTATGTAAACATATGTAACTATGGGAGTGTGAGGAATTACGTTATATTGAAGACAATTTCTATTAGCTGCTAAGTGTGAATACAGCACGTTATATAATACATCTTTAATAGAAACTTTACTAATAAAGATTTGAGGTTTATTTTCGTGTATAGATAACAAACTTTTAAAAATACCAAATAAAACTATAGTTTTTCCCATGCTGCCGTAGTTTAGCCAACTAATCAGTGAAAACAAAATGGCCATGCTCTTCGTGTACCAGAACAAGATGGTAGTATTTTCGAACTTCACTTAATATTATATTGTTCTTTCTTTTCACTCAGAAGTTCTTATTAATTATGCAACTAGGATAATTTAAAGAAACTAGAAGTCGAAGGTTGGTTTATTTTCATATCGAAACTAGGTAGTAACTTAATCATTTCTAGTTTGTGTTTTTTCTCTTCTGACTATAACTTTTAATACTGAAAAAGTCGAGGTGTGCGTTTTTTTTTATTCAAATCTAACCAAGAAATCTTCAACAATGAAAACAACTCGTATGTGAGTGTGTTACGTATCAAACTACGTTATGTTACATATCAAACTCCGTTATGTTTTAAAATTACAAAATATAGATGTAGGTTTCACATCTAACGAAAGCTAAAATTTTAACATTGAAAAAGTCCGGATGTATGTTTGTTTCCCATCTGGCTGAGATAACTTTTAAACGCTGAAAAATCCCGATATATGCTTAGCTGATATATAACTAAGAGAACGTGTATTAACTGGAAAAGTCCAGGGGTAAGTTAATTTCATACATAACATCAGATGTATTTTTGATTCATACAGTTTGTTTGTTTTTGAATTTCGCGCAAAGTTACACGAGGGCTATCTGCGCTAGCCGTCCCCAATTTAGCAGTGTAAGACTAGAGGGAAGGCAGCTAGTCATCACCACCCACCGCCGACTCTTGGGCTACTCTTTTACCAACGAATAGTGGGATTGACCGTCACATTATAACGCCCCCACGGCTAAAAGGACTAGCATGTTTGGTGCGACGGGGATTCGAACCCGCAGATTGCGAGTAGAGCGCTCTAACCACCTGGCCATGCCGGTCCGGATTCACACGGATTGGATATAATATTTATATTAAACAAAAGAGAGGTTTAGGCAAGTTTCATACATAACTTGTATTAACTGAAAAAGTCGAGGTGTGTTTTGCTTAGATTTATATGAAACTGAGACACTTTAAAACTGTTATGACTCAAAGAAAAATAAACTTATGGTCTTATTTGAAATGTAAAAATATTTAACTTTTGATATAGAAAATAAAT